GACAGAGAGTAGGTAGCATCGTACTGCACGGAAACATGGACGTGACCTGAGACTTGTCTAGCAGCGAGAATACCGACTAAAGCTGCAGCCGTGGCAGTAGTTTTTTTAGTCATGTGCCAATTTGCCATAAACGTTTATGTTGATGTGGTCGCCAACGAAGAAATTGGAGAATGAAGTCGACAGCAGAGTTGCATCAAGGATAGTGTTCTAGGTCAAACGGGTATGGCATAGTTGAAATTTTTACGCAGAGTATAATAGTTTAGGCTGTCCGCATTCAACAGTCACAACTATCACATAATGACTGGGCGAGTCATGTATCTTTTGACTGTTAAGTCAATATACTTCACATCGCATTTGATCTGTTTTGAAACTTCATAACTAAAGGAAATAAAAAATAGAATTTCCACGCTTGAACCGTGTAGCTAAATTCAGACCAAAATTTGGTCATACTTGATTTCCATTCTAGTATACACGTGAAATAGTCAAATACCAAAAATATCTCTATCATTCTTTTGTATGAGTCATCACAGTTTTTTTCAAGTGATATAATCTGATCTTAAGTTACTTCGCAGACACAACAGCATAATAATTGTGTGTTAGGATACTTGATAAATATTCTGAATATTCTGTGTGTTCCTTTGGTAAGAAAAGGCAATGACAATAGTTTGGATGAAGCTGATGAAAAAACTATACCTTGTCAAACTGAGGGCTGTACCAACTCACGATTTTGATCCTATCTATAGCACTAATCATATGACAGTTCAATTACGAAGACGCGACCCTCAAGACCAATACATATGGTAATGTCAACTTTATTTACACTACGTATAAGATCTAAAAATGAAGTCTTACCTTACTCTAAATTTGGTAAAAAGGTTAGCGCTGGGTCAACCAGGATGAACATGAATTTATTGTACACGTGATAAATAACGTCTGTTCCCGAGAATGTCAAAAGGAGAAACAACATACATTGGATTGCTCTGAATAAAGCTGTTTCATCCAATAAGGCTATCCCTAAATTTCCAAGCTCATGTAGCTCTACTTTGCCGAAACGGCTGGAGGAATGACGCACTTGCCGTTACCAACAGACTATCAGGATTAGTTACAGACACAATGTCTGTCTTTGCGTTGTTATTTTCAAACATAAAACGATGAGCAAGAATGAAAAGCACTCTTTGATTCTGTACTGATCATTTAGCTGCATGATGACATAGGTGCAATGTGACCTTGTATAAAGCAGGCAATGACACAATCACTCGTAAAGGAAATATATGCGCGGCTGCAATAGCGTTTATATCCGTAAAAAAAGCTTAATGCCAACGATAGAATTAGTTTGCAATGCACGGTGTGAAGTTTGGTTCGACCTATATAAGCCGTCCCAGATGGTGACTTAACTCTATACCTCCTGATAAATGATTGCAAACAAACCATTAACGGATGATTTTTCGACAGCTGTGGTTATTCGATATTTTCTTCCGTCAGCAAGTATAGCTAAAAAGAGGTCACCGTTGATGGTGATACTTTTGCAAGATGTAGTCAAAACCGCTAGCGTTGTGCTAAGATCAATTTTACCTCTGCTTTCGACATCCACGCACACTGCAAATTGATCAGCTTTCAATGATCTAATTATTTACTTTTCAGGATTATTTAAATCATACCAACTTTGAAAGTGACCTCTTCTAATACCTTTTCAAATCTTTAGCTGAGCCTTCATACTTGGCAAATCACATTGGAGCAAGCAGTCAATTAACGCAAGAACATGCCGAAGTTTCAATGTTCGTTCAAGCGAAAAGCATAAAGGCTTTTTTGTATTACTTATATGATTAAACCCGTCTAGTCTGGTCTCTACACCAGCTCATATTATCAGTTGTTATCTGTAGGAGTTCGACTGAAACTTGCAGTTCCGGTCCGGCTCCAACTCGGCAAATGCTTGGATGACATAAATTCTCAGGTCTTGAACCAAACCAATCAGATCGATACGACAAATCTCTCGTTAATAAAGAGTAATGACACCTTGAAGAGTTGAATGGGCTGGCTAAGAATGCTCTATACGAACGCGAATCTCTGTAAATGTGCTCAGATTTTTATGACAGCTTCAACATTTTTTGCGTAGTGTCGCGTAACGATAAAATACCAAAATCTTGTGGTCCTAATCAATCAATCAGCCTTTTATCATTCATTTTGAAGCTTTATGCTTTCCAATTGCTGTTTGAAATGGCACGGTCGTAAAATTATGTCTGTAGCTTTGATATTAAAACCCGAAGTAAAACTGTATCATGTTCTTATGTCTTTCTCGTTGTTAGGATGATGCCGCTCGATACTATACTGTAGCTATATGTCTATCTGACATGCATAAGTATTGGATTTGCTAGAAAGTGCTTGTGTTTTCTAGGTGTTGAGGTGCGGTGGCTCCACTTTCAGTATTAGGGCTCAAAGTCTCAAGCTCAGTAACGGGGTTTCACGAACCCTAATAACAGGGGTGTGTGTCAAAAGAGATGTGCATTATGGGACCACACCCAAACAAGAATACGGTACGGGGCTAGGTAGCCATATATTCCAATTTAACTATATATATTTAGTATATCTAGGAAAATCTAAACCTTCAACATTAGGATAAAAATATAAATTAAAATCAGTCTGGAATTTAAACCGAAGAGTCGATTAGCCTTGTGAAGGCATAATCACTCTTGGAGTAAGCGGATTGCGATCCGCTATCTCAAACTCGGTTTTTGTAAAGAAAGAAAGTTCAGTGACATAAAGTACGCTTCCTCAAGCGTTTTGATACGGCAGCCCCGCTGCAAACGCAGTGTATAATTACGAGATCTGTACAGCTCACTGTGCGGTTTACATACTACCACGGCATTTCCGTCACGTTCAATGGCAAAGACGATACGTCCTCTGAGGCGCTTGCACACGGAAATCAGGGGTCCAGTGCGGGCCACCTAGAAAGCAGGTGCAAATATATTCTCACATTTGCGGACAATATTTCAAGATACGTTAAGATTCCCTTCAAGAAGAACAAGAAAGAAGTAGCTGGTAAGTACAAGAAATTTAAGTTTCTTGATGTAAATCAATCCAGTCTTCATACAACACTGATGTGACAACTTCGGCCGGTTTTGTATGTAACCACGCTAGAGCTTACATTAAGTTGCACTATCGCAAGCTTGCAGAAGTTTCTTGGAACCAGCGAGGCTGGGTTTCTTCCGCGTCAAACGAAGCCGGAAAATATAACCAGTTTTGCTGTTGCATCTCTGGAAGCGTCAATATTGCTATGATTACGTTACGAACATTTTGATGCCATAATCATTGCCGCCGCGTCAAACAAAGCCGGAAAATTTAATCAGTTTTGCTGTAGCATCTCTTGGGGACCATCGCTCTTTGTCGGAGAGATCCTAACCGTGGAGCAGGCGAATGCATCGCTGCAGGCAACGGAGGAGCGCTTGGCTCCATTAAAAATGCAGGTTGTTGCACTCCGTGCTTAGAACCAGTTATTTGACTATTAAATGTTGCCCGCTTCGAAAGTCCACCTATAGTTTTTGTGGTGGTGTGCTACCGCTTTCTGCTTCAGTTCAAGGACCAGTGCGGATGGAATCTTTGTAACTTTCACGGTCACAATTATTCCTAATTTGTTGCGGTTATTTGATTCCGATATGACTCTTTTAGGTTTATTCTCCTGCTTCTAAATAATCATCATGTCACATACGTTTGTGCTGCTTTCGGACGTGCTACAGCGTTCTAGATTGAACAAGACGCATATGTTTGACGCGGCAGCAACAGATAACGCACTCAAACGTTCATCACGCTGTCAGCAGCTGAGATATCATGTCACATACGTGTGTGGTATTTCCAGACGTGCTGTGAAAATATGTATTCGATGCAGAGAAGAGTTCGGTGGGCTTGTTTGCCGTCGTGGGCTCGGGGGTTGTGAAAAAGAAAGATGGTGTGATTTCGTTAGATTAAAATTTCACAGAAAAGTGTTTGGCTCGAAACTTTTCTTAGAACAAAAAGTTTTAATCGTTTTAGTTGCGGTGGAGCCGCCAATATCTAAAACCCTAGGTTTTTCTTATTAATATAGCAATACTTAATTAATATAGCAAAACCTATTTAAAAAGCCCGGAAATTAATATATTTAAACGCGATCTCATATTTATGCCCATCAAAAATTTCATTTCACTTATTCTCTGTACATACTTCAATTTGTAGCACGTCTGGAAGCACCACAAACGTATTTGACATGATATCTTGGCTGCTGACAGCGTGACGAACGTTTGAGCGCGTTAACTGTTGGTGCTTTCGTCTCACAATCTCATCAAATATGAGTCTTATTGCGCATAACCTAATCAGCATAATTAAGTAATCAGAAAACCGTTCTGACCGGCGCAAGCAAACGTGAAAAAACTGCGCGCGATTGATATTTTATACGACTTGTGTCAATGTGGCTGATCTGGTGGTGTACGATGCTGCTGATATTCCCGTCGATGGTGTTTGCCGCAAATAAAAAGATATAAGAGACGTGATTCGCCTACCAGCACATGCATATGCGTGAAGCGCCCAGGGTCTTCGACCTCCAATCTCCATGATCATGGTGTTCCAATTATGCCATATCAAGGATTCCAAGCAATCATAGATAGTTGCTCACAAGCGATGATATGGATGTCCACATCCGCATGTGGGTTTGTCGAGACACTCCCATCTTGTGTCT